GGGAGGGCGGGAGGCTGGTTGTCCCAGTTCTAACTGTGTGTGGCTCATCACCTGGGGAGGTGACTGACTATGAAATCTACCCTGGTCAATGCTTCTGGTGAGGATTGCTAGTTTCTCCAACACCCCTTCTCACCTTCCTACATGGTAACAGAAATTTTAGCTGGCTTGTGGTCTGCCCACAATAAAATACATTTCCCAGCCTCCCTTGCAGCCTGGATATTACTATGAAACTAGATTTTGGCCAGTGAGAAGTGAGCGAAAGGAATGTATGCAACTTTGGGGCCTTAAATGAAGAGGGTGTATTCTCCCCTGCCCCTCGCCTTCCTGCGGCTGAAGTGTACATGGGGAGCCATCCTGGACCCCTCAGAGGAAAGCAACACTTTGGAGATAGAAAAATCCTGGTCTCTGATGACTCCACAGACTGGGCCTGTCCCACTAGTCCATCTATGACATGAGAGAGAAATATACTATCAACTCAACTAAGCTACCATTATGTGGGGTCTTTCATACACAGCTAAGCCTACATCTGCCCCCACGCAAGGCTTCTGCTGTGGGAGGTGTGGTCACTCATCCTCGGGAAGCTGCTGCGATCGCATAACCTGGCCTGCTGAGGCTGTCAGGGGCGCAGGGACTCAGACTGCAAATGATATTCAGGTTACTGTTTTTTGTCTCAAATAAAATAGGTTCTTACTTAGTTAACTTCTTATTTCTGGGTTGTTTCTTCTATGTTTGACCTATATTTCTCCTTCACTACAGAATTTCATGATAAAAGGTTACTCAATTCCCGAAGGATATGATGCCCCTAGTTCGTGGCAGAGGTTAAGGGTTTCCGTTCTTTAAGACTCTTACTTCCCCAATACTAAGATTTTTATTTTATTTTATTTTATTTTTGTTAATCCACACCTGAGGATATTTTTTACATTGATATTTTTAGAGAGAGTGGAAGAGAGGGGGTGAGAGAGAAACATCGATGTGAGAGACACATGGATTGGTTGCCTCCTGCATCTCCCCGACCAGGGCCAGGGATTGAGCCTGCAACCGAGGTATGTGCCCTTGACCCGACTCAAACCTGTGACCCTTCAGTCCACGGGCCTGATGCTCTAACCACCGAGACAAACCAGCTAGAATCCCCTAATACTGAGATTTCATAAAGACCGGCCAGAACTGTGCTGAGCAATCTGTATGGTCTCCAAACCTCTGAGCCTCTGCTTCTTCGTGCAGGGGATGAGCTCATCCCCAACATCCCTCCAGAGCTGACAGTTTAAGAATCTAAAAATGTCTGAATTGCCTTCATTGAATACATTTTCCTCCATGCACTCTATACATTATATACTTTAGGTATTCCTTTTTCAACATATGCTGAAGGGCTTTTTTTAAAAAAAAACTAGTGTAAATTAATATAGCCATAAATATAAAAGCATACACATTAAAATTTGTGCAAAATAATCTGAGCTTCCCTAGAAAGTTCTAGAAAGATCTGCTCATTTTGTGGTTGTTCTAAGGTTTCATGCCTCCTCCCAGCCAATGTGCAGAGTTCTGGCAGAAGAATTTCAAAATCTGCTTTTATCTCCTAGTTAGCCCCTCCCTCGCAAATGAAGTTTGGAACAGGCTTACTCCTTTCCTACCCACAACTCTGCAGACATCTGCCTTTTTACTTTGCAAGTAATTGAGCAGGACTGTCACACACTAATAATAAAAGAACCATTTTTAGGACTCTGGTGCCTTAAACTGAATTTAAAGAAATAGTTTCCTAATGCACTTACCTGCCCCCGAGGGCTGCAGGCTGCAGGTGCTGCCAAAGCAAGGACTCAAAGGCAAACTAAATAAAATCACGCCTTCCTGACATATAATTCCCTGGTGGGAATATCTGCAAAACAGCAGGAAGGGGCGGGAACAGAGAGGCACAAATGTCTCGGAAGAGCGTCAAAACAGCAGCCACACACAAGCCAGGTAGCATCCTCCACCAGCTCCACTTAGGAAGCTGAGCTCCTTCTTCCCGCCCCTTCTAGTGAAACGAGAGAAAGCGAGGTCTCGTTCACGTGGAGCCTGGAGGAGGTCCCCCGGCAGGCGGCAGGTGGCTTTCCGTGAAGTGATGTCCTTGCCTTTGCTTGAGCAGACGTTCTGCTGACCTGGGGTCAGTTTCTGGGGCAGGAGAAGAAAACCGAAAACACCAGGCCTGGGCCTGTCGGGAATCCAGACCCTTGGAGCTGACACCACTTAACTAGGTCTTTCAAACTTCTGTGTAATTCCTTTAATTTTAGGCATTTTAGTACATAAGGGTTTAATGCCTATCGCCTTCTCTCTCCCTCTCCCTCTTCCTCCCTCTCTCTCTCCCTCTCCCTCTCTCTCTCTCTCACACACACACACACACACACACACCCGCCTACCTGCCTCTGAGAAAAATATGGCGAAACTTTTCAATGCTGTGTAACACTGAATTCTTCCCTCTTTCCAATCAGTGTCTATAACAGCAACCTCTAACTTAAAAATGGCACCTGGAGGACAAATGTACCCAACACTGCTTCTCAGAGGTGCTGAGAACCGAGTTGGGGTGCGGGGTATGCGGGTGTAGGGCAAGTCCCACTTAGGCTGAGGTAAACCTCCCCTCCTCTCACCATGCCTCCGTTTTCTCATCTATGCAGTGGGCATAGCAATGCATAGGTCCCAGGGCAGTGGTGGGAATGAGTCAGGTCAGCAAATGAAGTCCGTTTCTCCTCCACCCCCCATAGTTGCCTTGTCCTCTCGATTCCCGAATCCACTCAGGTACCTTTAGTCCTTTCTCTGCGGGACAACAGCAGCCTTTACCGGGCTG